TAAATTGCAAATTTTTCTTTTAATATAAGTGGATGCTCAGTTACTGCCAGCCATGTGATCTTGAGTTAAAAGCTGATAGAGTTCACTTAACATTCAAGCTTATTACTGGGTCCACATCAGCACATTTTCAATGTTGAAAATGCAAAGACTCATTGCATATGTGTAATATGTGTGAACTAGTGCCCCAGACCCATGCAACCATGATGGGACAGTGTAGGGAAAGATAGGGTCAGAAATAATAAAACCTGGTGTGCTAGATTGTACTTTTCTTCCTTTGGAGTCACAGTATAACATAGTCATTCAGAGCAAAAGCTCTGAAAATGGGTTACTTGTATGCTGGTTCTAACATTTCCTAGCTAGGTAGTTTATCCTTTGAAGAAATGCCATGAAACTCATAAAACTATAGTCAGATTAGTGGGTGAATACATGTAAAATACTTAGAAAAGTGGGTGGTATATATTTAATCCTCAACAAAAATCCTAGATACTAATGTAACGATAGTTTCCTTCTTCATTTAGTCACAATAGAAATGGGTCTTTCTTTAATTTTATCAACATAGGAGACTTTTTAGATACATAATATATCTTTTGGTAACATTTTAAGCATGCTCTTCTCTTTAATTGTTGAAAACATAAAGATAACTACATATTAAAAAGTAGACCAAATTTCAGTTGAGGAAGTTAATTCCAAACTATTTTTAGAATACAAACAACCCATTTTATTAATTGTTATACAAACACAATTATTGGCAAAACACTGTAATTCCTGGCCTTCACATGGACAAAAAGAACAGCAGCCTCTTTTTGATAAGCCAAGGCTAGGAATGCAAAGAATTAAGAAGTGGACAAGAAATGTTTTCAAAAAAATGTATTTATCTGGAGAACCATCTGAAGTGTCAGTTTTGCCAACAAAGATGAAAACCTGATTATCTATTGTACCACACTAAGGTAGAGGTTTCTAGATTTTGTGCATGAAGATGGGGCAGAATGACAAGAGAGGAAGTGAGACAGTTTTATCATTACAGAAAATGGACTGTTTGAATTGACATTATTGCTATAACTTTTTCTACCCTTATAAGTCACTCATCTTTGTTTCATAGAAGGCAGAAAGTAATAAAAATCTACTGAAATGTGAAAAGGTGATTAAATACTTAGTGAAGATTTAAATGGATCCATAAGGGAATTATTAGTCCCGGAAGTACCTTAAAGGCAATGTACCTTCACTCAAGAGCAAACCATTTTTTACAGAGCTTCCTTTGAACTTAACACACAGGTTTAGAGAGAAGAGTTTTAAAGTTACGTATTATTTATGTCATGTGAGATGAGAAAAAAGGAAAGGATGACATAGAGCTGGGTTGAAGTCAGAGGAGGAGGTTTTTAATGGTGATGTAGCTTTGGTTGGTAAGGAAGACACAGTTTTTGGAGGGCTTTTTTATTTAGAAGGAGGATCTGTAAGGAATTACAAGACTAGACTCACAGAGAGAAGGTTTTGAGTGGAGTAAAGTGAAAGCCTGGATGTATGAGCCATCTGCCATAGCATTGTAGAAAATTTTTACAATAAAAGATTAACCATTTGGGTTGAATGATTTTTGTGAGCTTCAGAGTCTGAGGGTTTTGGAAGAGACATGTCAATAAATCATCCTTTAGGACGTTGGATGATTTTTGACCCATTTTGTGGATTAGAAATTTAGGGTTTGAAATTGAGACAGTCCCAGTTGGACAATTCCAGTGACACCTATGGTCTGAAACCAAGATGATTCCCATGGGACCTGGACTGCGATTGAGAGGTGGTGAGCAATTCCCACTGTGGCCCTACCCGGGAGGACAGGCCTATGAGAAGGTGGACCATTCTCACTGTTAACTGATAGCTACAAGTGTGTGTAGCTGGATATTTTTCAGATGTCCCCAGAAAATAGCAGGTGAATCCATCCAGTGGTGGACGGAGAGAGTCTCTTGCCTGGCCAGGGCTTCCATGGTGCACAGCAGGATTAGAAAGAAACCCAGATGGAGGGGAAAACTCACCAAAATTTGAAAGCTGGTGTTAGGTAGAAATCCAGCGATGGAAGATGGTCTCTGGTGAAGAAAGGGTGGGAGAGCGGCAAAAAAGGAGAGAGATAGTGAGGATGGGGGAGGAAGACTCCAGCCTCCATTTAGAGCCCAAGAATGAATCTGGGAAGAGCTGCTGCTGTCCACCGCTTTTCAGGTTGTGACAGTGGAGAGCTGGAGTCAAACCTATATGCCCTAGCAGTTTGATCTGAGGTGGAAGAAAGCCTGGAGATAGTCTCCTGATAAAGATGTTAAGGTCTCGGAGGACATTGGGATCAAAAGTTTTAAATTTGGGCCATTTAGAGGAATCATCTAACTTGTACTGAGGTCAAATTTTCATAGAAAGACAGATGAGGATTTTTCATTTTAGATCACCTTTTAGGCCCAGTTTGGTAAGATTGTATAAAAGACACCACAGGGGTGAGTCAGAGGGAATCTTTGAGTGGGTATTGCTTTTGGCCAAGGAAGTTTTGGCCTAAGTTCACCTTAGGAAGTTTTTCCTAGGGTGTCCCCCAGAAAAAACTTGCAAAACCAGAAAAACAAACCTGGGGCAGTAGGCAGACGCCTCTAACCTATGTAGCCAGGGGTCAGACTCACCAGTGGGCAAATGGCCAGAAAGTGAGAGGGAGGAATAGGAATAGTAAATGCAAGAATGGCCAGAGTCCAACACACCAAGGTCCCATGGGGTACTGGATGAAGAGGTCAGGTCTAACCCATCCCTGTAGAAATCAGAGCTGGTGTTGAGTTTATGGAGTGGAATCAGTGAAGGGCCCTTCAGGACATCACAGAGGAATGGGAAGTTAGGAGCATATATATGATCAAAAGGTTAGGCTCCAGAGCAATGTGGCTATTTAGTAGAAGAAGGGCAACTAACAATACTTTTGGGGCTCAAGTCCAATTGGAAGGAGCAGTTACACCTAGTCTTAAGCCCCAAATAACTGTCAGTAAGATGGGGAGGCTCAGCAGGAAATATAGTAGTGTATTAGTCATATAGAGGATAATGAGGAGGGAGCAAAGAGAGAGAGGGATTTGGAGATAGGTCGGGTGGTTTGGAGATAGATGTGGGCACCGGCCATATCCCTCTCGGGAACTTAGGTACCTCTTAGCCTAGCCATAGTGTGTCTGCATCAAGCCCAGTCCGGAGACCCCCATGGAGTTGCACCATTGACTGTATGAGGATCACCATGGAAACATGGTGACCCAAGAAGGGCATTCACCCCACTCGAAACTCTCTCTTGGGTTTTGTCACCAAATGAAAGGAAAGTGAAGAAGCTGAAAAGAGAGACATACTGAGAAAGAATCTGTGACCTTCATAAGCAGCAGGCCTTTATTAGGGACAGGAGATATGAGAGCAACCACTGGCCATCAGAATAACAGTCTGAGAAGGGCGAGAGCACGCCTTTCTTACAGGCTGGGGATTTTAAACATCCTGTGGTGGGGAAAGGAAGTTGGAGGGGGATGGGCATTAGGTAAGATGGTTGGGAAGAAGAATGGGGGAGATGCTGGACATTAGCAGGAAAGTCGTTGGGGTTGGGCAGGTATGCATGTTTTTTCCCCCCATTTCAGCATTTGCATTGTTTCAGTGTTCCTCAACATTTCAGCATGAATAACCACATGGACTATTCATTTGTCTCTGTAGTTTCAATTTTGTATTGAATAAAACCAGTTGCAACACTGTATCTTTTCTCCTTCTGGCCTGAACATATGCCTTCATTTAATACTGGATGTGAGTTAGAAATTAGCATGTGAAGAGTTTAGTTTTCATTTCTGTGCAAATTCATAAAGAGTCCTCTTCTGAGAAAGCTTTTACTATCATTCTCTACCCATGTTCTTCTTTTTGGCTTTAGAATTTCATATTTTATATTTACTCATTACTCAAAGTACAGCAAATTTTTTTCCACCACCTCACAATTAGCAAAAATTATTCTCATGGAGACAATACCACATTAAAAAAGTCCCTGCTTCACAGAACCTGAAGCATGGCATTTACCAGCTTGTGCTACAATTATTTGTTTCTCTCCCACGACTAATTTGAGCCTCTTGATGGTAGCTGCAATATTTAATCAAACTTTGAACATCAGCTCAAGATCAAGTACATGGTAGGTATTCATATATTTAGATAATATTTATGTAGAGAGACCATTCTTATTATCTTGATGTGAGATATAGAATTAAGTATTGGATTTATATACTCATGGTTCATGAAACAGTTTGGCACTAGTTAGTATTCAGTAAATTATAAAGTGTTTGTTTGAATTTTAATTAGGACCATCCAAAAAAACTGTAGAATATTTTATATAACAATCTAGATTCCCAGCTGCTGCTGAAAAAGACTGCATTCTTGTATCACCACTAATAGTCTGCAGCTGTTCTCAGTATTTCCCCTTACCCCCCTTTCCTTCAAATGGAGTAGTTCTCTCCTTTCACTACACTCCTACTACTACCTATTACAGTACAGGTGTAGATGGATTTGTTTGCACTGATGTGTGGTAAAAAAAAAAAAAGAAATTCTTTAAATTCTTCATAAGTCCACTAAAAATTTATATTTACAAGCTTACCATAATCTAGCTCCAAAACTATAAGTAATAACTTAGTCTCCTTTTTATTTTCCTTAGAGACATGGAATGCTAACATGTATTTGCCTTCATGTGAACTAGATACCATTTTCAGTCATTAATCTACATTTTGTCTGAGTTATTTTTCTGTATTTTCACAGTAGGTTTCCTGTGTTTTTTAAATTAATGAGATAAATTGCAGCTACGTTATACCATGATGTATAATCGACTTTAAAAATAAAATATACCTAAATATTGGGTATTTTTCCTCTGTGATTGTTGAACTAACTCTTTTTATTTGTCTCATTTTTTGTCATATGAAATAAACATAAATTTAAAGACATAAAATTGAATTAAAATTACAGTTTACTAACCTAAACGTATTCATACTTTGTTTCAGTTATCCTTGAAAAGAAGAGGAAGCAAAGATTTGCCAAAATCTGAAAAAAAGGCTCAACAGACTCCCACAGAGGTATGTGGAAATAAAATTTCAGCTAGTACATCAAGCACCTCTAAATGTACATTAAAAGAAGCTACTTTTATAAATAGAAATAAAATAGCCAAACAGATTTATGCAAAGCACAGTCAAGTTATGCATATCAATTATGTAATTAGAGGTACATGTGGTATGAAGTATTCAGTGTAGTTGCTTATAATTCAGAACTAAAATCCCTATTGTAATTGCTTTTACATTGTTAAGCACAGAGAGCATGTCATTAGTACTTTATGTACTGCTATATTTAAGAATTGTATCCAGTGTGCTAATATCATTCTTTCATAATTAATAAGGTCAATAGAATGGCCATTCCTAGAGTATCAGTGAAGTAAATAAAAGAATGTTGTACAAAAGGATGGTAGATGGAAGAGAGAAGCAAAAGAATGGAAACAAAGGAATAAAAATAAATTGAAATGATGTACTCAGCATGAGTTTGTTAAGAACATTAGAAACACAGCCACAGTAATAACTAGTTCTGCTTCCTGGGTGAGCAGAGATGCTGAAGGTTGATTGTAAAACAGAATAGGAAATTTTTAGGACAGAAGTGACATTACTGCTCTCCAAAAGCCTAAGGGTAGAAAATGACTATAAATGTGTATGTTGGAATCTATAGTACTAATATCTAGATTTAAAAAAAATTACTCCAAGGTGATTTCTCATTAGAAACTATTTAAATAGTTAAACTATTTAAATAGTT